TGAAGATTCAGACTGTTCACTGCAAGCCTGTACAGATGTACAATGATTAACTGAAATATTCATCACACTGTTTTCTGTTTTTGTATTATCAACTATTGAAATTTGATTATCAACAATAGCTGCTAGTTGACTGGTTAAAATGAAAGACTGACTAGGCTGAGTGAAATTCTCAAAATCTTTAGAGATCATTGTATCCTGGAGGTGTGTGGATTTATTGCACTGTACGTCCAAAACTTGAGACTGAAATGTTAAAATTTGATCATCACAATGGTCGATATTACAATCTGTACTATTCTTCTGAGATGAAGCGCATTTTTTCTCTCTGTTGCAAGTGTGATTCCCTGTGTTGTTACAACAGTCATCAGAAATAGAGTCATCACTAGCAAACGACAATCCTGTACATATGGTGCTGTTAGTAGTAGTAGTAGTGGTTGTGGGGGCAGTGGTGTTACTCGCCGTCGTCGTTGCCAACATCACTGATGTAAGAACAACATTCTCCTCAGGAACCTTTTTGCATTTCGCTCCGTGGTCTTCGCTTACAGAACTATTGGGACGCTTTCTATTCTCAGCAGAAACAAGATTCCTACCATGATCATCATTTACATTCATATCTCTGGAAGAAATTGTATTTCCCACTATTAATTGACTACTCTTCAACTCGTTTAATGTGTTTTTAATTTCAACAATAGCTTGTGATTGATGCACTGGTGAATCAGCAATAGTCGTGTTCTCCTTAGACTGTATCACTTTCTCATCTTCTTTGGATAGAATAACTAGATCTTTCCCATAGACTGAAGCTAAATCTATTTCCAATAGTCGTTTGGCTTGCTCAATAATTAATGGTGCAGCTTCTTGTTCATTGATTACGTTCCCATCATCTAGTAGAATTGTACGACATGATGCTTTTGCAGAATTCTCACTGTTATTCTTTCTGTAATCATAGAAAAAGTCAAACATAGGTTATTTCTTGTGTGATTTTTTTGATAATATAGCAATACTAATTGTGGAGCCATTGAAAACCATAAGCCTTTGAATTTTTATTTACTAGTGTAATTCATCATGTGTCCGTAATATGGTACAAATAATAATAGTGCAATTGTGCTTTTTACTGTGATTTTTCAAATATCCAGTATAGGCACTGCGTCATTTCGATTGTATATGTCGAGTGTGGATTTGATGAACAAAGATTAGGTGGTTAAACTCTCCCCTTCTACCTAACCATACTACTCTTTTATATTTTTAACCTATTCCAATATACTGTGTGATTAAATGCAAATGAGTGCGTCGCAATGGTCGAGCTTTCTATTATGTAACATAATTCATCAAAGTCAATCACTCCTAATTTCTAATCATATCAATGACACAAGTCTACTAGTTTGACCTAGGTAATCCACCTCACTATCATCACCTGTTATTTTAGTTTTTAAATTATTTTAATTTTGGTAATTGAATCTATCGGGTTGTTAAGCCGAGAAAGTTTGCTTCAAACTTCGTTGGTAGACATAAATAAGTTACTGAGTGGTGTGAATACAATCCTTGCTAAGTAAATAAATAATACGGCTTCACTATTACAACAAATAATGTATCTAGTATGGGATTTTAAAAAGAGGTAAAAATTAAGCCAATCATGCTTATTTGCTAATGGGATGATAAGATTTCGCACACACAGTGTGAACAATGTTCTTTCCAGTATGATCTCATCAGGTTTTACCCTTCTAAAGATAACTTCATAGTGACTTACCAATAAGGTAGTAAGAATGTCTTTAAATATAAAAAATAAGGTTTTCGAAAGGAAAAATTAGACCAACAAATAGTTCAATTCTAGATCACCTTGTTCTCCCAAATCATTCCGCATCAACAGAACAATCTTTCAAAGTGATATATGGCGTACGGCCAAGTCGTTCGACAAGTTTCCAACTACATTTTCTGCCCACAGCAGAAGGTTTTGCTATACCTAAGGAAAATCTTGCACTGTGTATGTAGGCGAGGTTTATCTAATCCCTTTTACTACCGCGGCTTAAGGCCACGGTCCCTTCTTTAACTCACACACATAACAATGGTATCTAATGCATATTCATTTGGTTTTTATCTTGGTCTTATTTGCCTCCTTTTAGACTCCTAACATTAAATTATACTTTGTAAATATTCCTAACCTCTTACCATCCTTTTAAACCATGTTCTTGTTTCTGAGGCCCTGTCAGTTATAATTTCCTACAATGGTAACCATTTCTGAGCGATGATCATCACTTATCGTCTTTAGATTACGTGACTTATTTTGCTTGACGTTTATATTCATATGTCTCGTTACTAACTGATATGACTAATTGACCTTAAAGGTAATCCCCTGACCATTTACAGCAATATTATGTAACTGCACTGCGTTGGAGTGAAGTTACATAACGAATATTCTTTACTGAGCTGTCTCTTTGATTTGTGTCACATGGGTATTTTTCATACTACAAAAAGAATCCATTATGTCAAATATAACTAAAGCAGATTATTCTGACTAGACAATAAAGTAGCAGTATATTTTAGGGATTCTGTAAACAATTCTTTCTAAATATATATTCCTTACACAATTTGTAATTATTAAAATAAACAGCAACTGATTACTAGTTTTGACCTCGGAGGTGTAACTGTCACACACGATAACATGCAAGATGAAAATTAAGTACGTAGCATATTTAACAGAAAGTTCAAACATAAAAATAAAAACATTTATTCTATTCTATTCCACGAATTGTCAAAGTAGACGTAACACGAATACACTAGAAATTCCTATGTGATTTTCACTTCACTAACAAACCGAACTACATAGACTTATGTCATCATCGCTAGGAGAAATTCGAAACATGACAACAGTAACTAACCGACTATTCAGCAAAAACGTCTACTTTAAAAGGCAAAAAGAATAAATGAACTGATAAAAAATTGACACAAGGTGTATTGACTCACCGTTCAAAAGGTATTGCACGTTGTAAAACCCTTGAAATATCTTGAGAACGTGCAGTAGCCAACGACGATACAGAAGTATAACCAGCTGCGTATAAAGCCCGAGCACGTTCAGCATTAACCAGAGGTAGTAAACGTATCAAGTCAACAAGTTCTTCAGAAACACCATAGCATAAACGTGACTGGAAATTCGCTATTATACGTTCCATATGACTCCAACCAAGACGATTACAAAAGATAGTTACCATACCTATGATATTAATATATGAATGTTCACAGAATTATTCCCAGTGATAAACTTCAACAAAGCAGGAAGAATATAGTGAGCGGGATAAAATGATGCCATCTTATTTCGTTGGTCCGTGTCAACTGCATACAACCATCAATAATTCAATATCAAAATATAAAATATTCAAACACTTTAGTTATTGGTCATAAAGGTGAAGAGGATTCATATCATGTGATTAAGTTGCATAATAATGGGAAGGAATGCAATTATGAGTCGATGTCAAGCTCGTTAGTATGCGTGAGAACAATTCGAATAATAATGTTACTTTAGAATTACGAATGAATGCTACAAAGTGAATAGAGGAGTGAAATCAACAATACACTCATGTATAGTAAGCATCAAATAATTTAGTTGAATACAGAACTGTCAGAACTAAATATAATTAAAATAACGCAGAACAATTAAATCACGTAAAGTGTATATATCAAGGTGAGGTAAGATTAACACCGGTTTCCTTCTGGATGAATAAATTCGGTTTTAATCGTCTACTGACAATCGCTTCAGTGATACCTAGTGACCTGGAGGTGTGTTGAGTTTTAATTAACTTAAGGGATTTCAATGCATCGATTGCATGAAATCTGTCTAACAGGTGGTGAGCAATCGTACTACTAAGGACTTTTGCACCTTTCTTGGAATATGATCAGATGTGCGGTCACAAATCCTTCTTTCTGTTTGTCTGACCCTTACAGCTCTATTCACTTTGTAGCATTCATTCGTAATTCTAAAGTAACATTATTATTCGAATTGTTCTCATGCATACTAACGAACTTGACATCGACTCATAATTGCATTCCTTCCCATTATTATGCAACTTAATCACATGATATGAATACTCTTCACCTTTATGAACAATAACTAAAGTGTCTGAGTATTTTATATTTTGATATTGAATTATTCATGGTTGTACGCAGTTAACACGGACCAACGAAATAAAATGGCATCATTTTATCCCTATCACTATGTTGTTATAGATGCATTTGTAAGGGGTGTTTGCACACAAGTATCAGTTTTGGTGGTAGTATCTAGAAGATAAGTGAAAAATGGAGGCCTCTTTACATCTTCCTAGTACAGCATAAACGGATATTAGATTCTACATACTGCATGCCAGGTCAAAGTTAGATTGTTACATAACACATGAAATACTTGTATTTAATGAGTCATGAAAGGAAAAGTTATCAGATTCAATCCGATTATGCCGTCTGACGATGCAAGTTAATATCACAAAACACGTGAGGCACCTGAGTGTGAATTTTAAATAGCAAATATTCAGAATTCTAAAATTCATGTTCTGTATTTACTTAGATTTACTTGCAAAGTGTTTAACTCTGGGAGTTTTCAAGTATCATTTGAGGTTCGAGTCCAAATTAGTCAATCATGAATTAACAAACTACACCGTAAAACAGTATCAGCTAATATTTACTGAATAAACGCTTTATATAACAGTCTTTATGTATGGTAGACAAATGGTGAATGGAATCTATGAATTAAGGACTTGTATACTTTATTATAAGTGAGACATTCTTCATGAAAAAATATGTATGAAAACATACCTGCATAAGTGGCAGCTTGTTGTTGTAAACTTTGTAGGAGACCACGATTGACGCCAAACTTCCTTGCAACAGCTTGTAAGCCATCTTCATTAACTAAGCGATATAGTACTAAAGCTGTATAAAAACGTCTATGCAAGCTCAGACGTCGACTGCTCATAGAAGCATTACCAAGACGACCACTAGTGGTTGGTGGGGCACCAGCTGCACATCTGGTAATAAACCGTTCTTCAATATCAACCAGATCAGCAACTCTACGCTCTGCGGGAGATAAACTCTGATACTGTTCCAAGTAACAAAGCCAATCCAAATCGGCACCAACATCCAAATACACAGGAGTTAACTGAAAACAGTTTAAAAACACGTGCATTAATAAACACCATTTTGTAACTGATACAAGATCACCTTATGCAAAACAACCAAAGTGTAAATTTAAACAGGCACATACAAACGACTTAAGATTATACTAAACATTGTTTCAAGATACTACAATTATCAAGGGAGAAGAATAAAAGGAATAATATGTGTTGAAGACGGATGTGTGTTCGAGACGAATGAGTAATAAGCAGTTTAAGATATAGGAAAAGGTAGTGGACAGCAGCATCCACGCAAGCATGGTTGGCACTGACTCCTAGCTACATAGAATCAATACATAATAGTGACTAACGTTTTAATGACACCATACATACAGTATGGGTGTCTAAAACACATAAGCATTACAAATAAAGCAGTTATTTCAGTTCCATTTAGTGTCAGAGAAAATCAATCTTCACAATAGCTTGTGTGTACAGGAATGTCTTTGAGTAGATAAATCTCAAAATATTATGTAATATACTCACCAGATATATCAGATGTAATTCAGTATCCAGGGCGATAGATCGTCGTGCGCGATCCAACTCCTCGAAAACTGCTAACCCATGCACTGGACCTAAAGAAGACGACAATACCGCTCTTCCTAGGGCCGTTGGTTGTAGTCGAGCATAATTCAATAAGCGATTCAATGAATCAGCATCCATTTGTGACAGATTTTCATTATTGCCTTCTGGATTTGAAGATTGATCAATATAGATCAGTTCTTGCTTTTGTAATTCTTTAATACATAAGAATAACAAACGTTTCATTTCACTTATAAATCCATTATTGTTATCTGTAACACAACTGACTTCAGCACTGGAAGAAATTCTAGACTGAGATAGACGTAGAGAACGACGCCGAATCCCTCCTGGTGAGTGATGAGATGATTTAGGAGATTTCAGTTCAGTCAACTTTTCTTCAGTGATAGCAGTAGCCAACAGGGTACTAGAGAGATATAGTAGAGCGTCGGTTAGTGTTTCAACAAATCCATTTGCAATAACCTAGATCATTTAATTTAAATAAGAAGAAATAAAGGGTTAGTTTAATGAAAAAATGTAGGTATGAACACGTAACACAACACACTCAACCACTTACTTAATTCTAGAAAAAAAGCATGAATGATGCTAGCAACAGGTTTCAAAATCCCAATGAAGTGAGAAGGTAAGTTTCTTTGGAAAACTAAGACTGGGACAAATTAACTTCAGCTTAAACAAATAGAGCAAACTGCGCTTCATCGTTTACACAAAACATACAACACTAAAAAGAGGACAGGGCACGTCAATGGGATTATTAATTTAACTTTTTTATTATTATTATTATTATCAACCATCTACTCAATGCTTAACTTACCAATAACTTATAAAGCTGTGGGGTTGTTTTTTTCAACCATTCCATCAGAGCTCAAATGAGTCAACTGAATATATATCCATCAGTTAAATCACAGCATACCTCTGATGTAACTACCAAATAAAAAGTAAATTCATACATTCAATGTATTAACAGGATGTAAAAAGGAAGTAACATATCCAATAAATTTTCGAGATAAATGTATTGTAACTGAGATCTCAAAGAAAAATGATACACTTATGTGAATTCTACCATCAACTACCAAGTAACCTATCAACAGATGTCGCAGTGGTAATTGGGATCCGAAATGCATTTTTCGAGTAGCATAGTCGAAAGACAATTTGTTGAGGCGATTAAAAAGTATACGTCAGGCCTTGAAACAGTCCTTAGCCGTTCACAATTCGTCTGACCACCACTGACGTCCGCACAGCTATAGCCTCTGTGTTACCTGGTGACCTATGTCTGCTTCGCAAGCCTTGTAAAGGCAACACTGAGGAATGTAGAATGCTTTTGTCATGTTGACTCCCTATATGTAGTATAGGCTATTATGCATTTAAAATGTCACCAAACACGGATCAGAGACAAAATCAATAACGGTCAGGTTATGGTTCCTTAGTCGTTTGTTTTCACCATCAAAAACAGTGCAAAGAAACAAACGTTTATACAATAAATGCTCAGTAAGAGTGATGTTTCTAGTGGAACAAAGATATCTTAACAGTCACACAAAATATAGAGTAGTTCAATTCATCCTGATACTTAAGTTAGTTGTAACAATGTTGTAGCAATTCACACAAAATTTATAAACCAAACAAATAAATAACAAAATTTTCAATCCATCAACGAACATACCTCAAGTAAGGCACGTTTTAGGCTAGATTCAGGGCTGCCTCCTTGACCCATTAGACAGGAATTCACTGGTGGCATTCCATTCATCACCAACTGACGTACACGTCCCAAATCTTTGGGTTTACATAATAATATGCTTTGGCCTAAATAAATGTGAAGAATACATCAAAATGAGGAAAATGAAGGAAATTATACTGAAGGTGAAGATCAATTACTCATTATACCACATATTAAATGCATGAACCCCATGTCATGAAAACGACTCAATCACTATAAAAACGTCAGTTGGGTATTCCACTTACGATTTACTTAACTTACACATTTAACTTCAATTGTGTGAAAGAGGAGTCATCCACCAGTCATAAGGAATTTACACGGAAGAGAATTTATCGCTGTAACCCAATGAATATAGAAAAATCCGTCTTAAATGAGAAATCTTCAGAAGAAAGCTCATTTAAGCAAGAGAGAACATGAAGCTGCATTCTAATGGGTAGAACCATAACGTAGGGAATTCTACAGAAGTAATCACCGTTTCATGTTCGAAATGAAGAGCCTACGTGTGAAGCTTACATTACCAATATGAACAACACAACCTTTGTATGGATTTCATCAAGCTAATCCTAATTGCCTAGGGATTTGACTAGTTACATTAGCAGTTACGTTGTCACTATAAGTGTATATATTCCAGAAACATCGATAACAAAGTGTCAGTGTAACAACAGATGACAAGAGACATGCTAACGGAAGGTTTACTTGAGATTTCGTATCTCTGTATAGCGAAATCATGCACCTTATAAGAAAATTGTCATTTGCACAGATCATTCGTGTTGTGCTACTTCTGACTTTCGTAGTGTGTGCTTCTTTGTCGTCTTTTCGTGTCTCCCATGTTCCACCGCAGCACTGGTTAATTTGCTCCCTTTGACGTCTCTCCGCTATTTGATATCTTTGTACCAGTGAACGTCTCTTTATATACTACTAATTATCAGTGGCAAACTCCACATAAGTGCATAGTGGTGCATAAATTTTACATTCGTACATTAAGTAGAAAGGGTGACAGAAAGAACGGAAATAAGTTTCAAAGACTGCGAAATGCTATTAAACCTAAATCAAAGGATAAAACAAACAAACAACATATTTTAATAGAGATAAATAACGAATGCATCTACACTGTGACCGATTCCCTGGCAGCATGCAGACTAATCAGGTAACTTATAATTCTATATATGAACGAGATGACGCGTAATTTTTGAATTCATGGATTTTAAGATGCTGCTTGTGATTGACTTAGTCCAACAACAGTTAACATAGTACATGCAGACAGACGGTTCAGTTTCCTTGACAAAGTACTCTACACCGCCGTCGCATCAGCCAGTTAATGTCACGTTTCCGTAAAAAAGGGGAAAGACCGCTGTACCCCACAAACTGTCTATTCAATTTAAAACAAGCAAAAAAGGTTAATAAAGTAGGATTTAATTTTTACCCAATTATTCGTTGAACACAATTTTAATGTTCACAGCATTAAACTGAGATCAAGAAATTAATTATTATAAAAGACTGTTATTTGTTGAGATCTAGCATTCATTTGGGTGGAGACACATGCGTGCGATAAAACTTTGATTATCTAAGCCACTGTTGGAGAAGGGCCACTACTGATCCAACATTAATATGACCTGCTTGAACCCAGAGGTCTAATGAGTTAGAAGACAATCGTATTTTATAGCTTTTCCATTTATGCGTAAATTGGTGCTAGTTAGTAAATGATTATTCAAACAGTATAACGGTATGTGATTAACGCTATCAGCTCGCTGAACTGGGACTTCAAGCATACAATCTAACAAACTTTGTCTGATACAGATTTCCTATTTGTGCACTAAAATCTCTTTTTAGGACGGCCACACCTGAGTATTTGGACATTTCTAGCAGACCAGACTATGCTGGTGAGACTGGAGTCAATTATCGATTTTCGTTGAGACCACCCAAGGCTTGATTAGTAACTAGGTCCTTAAGATCAGTTCCGAAAGTCACTGTTTTCTATTTGATTTCAAATGATACCTTGTTTATTCAGCAACCTTTCAGCATACTAAGGCCATATACACAAAAGTGTTGAAAACAAAACCAAAAATTCTAACACTTAATTAAAATATAAATGACACTAGTAGTGATTGACTTTTACAGTATAAACAGAAATATTATATCATTATTATTACTCACCACTAGTATCAACGCCTTGACGACCTGCTCGACCAGCCATTTGTTTATAAGTAAGATAATCTAGCATATGTCCATGAAACAATGGTGTTCGAATTATAACACGACGAGCGGGTAGATTAACTCCAGAACTTAATGTGGATGTGGCAATTAAAATACGAATAAGACCTTTACGGAAGCCAAACTCAATCACTTCTCGTTCTTCAATTGTAAGACCTAGAAAATAGAATTCATAACAAGTTTTTATTAAACTAGGACTTTTACTGCTACCTAACACTTATCGGAGTGCAATATCTCTAATAGTATGGAGACTTATTTTATTTCTGGATTCAGTAAACTTCATGTGAACTACCGGACAAATAGTACGATATATTTCATACATTTGTTCCCCTTAATGAATTTAAATAAAGCTTTGTTTAAATTACGATATATATATATCATATCGATTTTTTAACAAAGAGTAATTCGTTTTCAAACTACCTTCCTTACCAGTCAACAGGCAGTTTTTGCCTATATATATATATATATATATATCACTCACAAGGTAGTGAATCAGCAACGGTTACCAAGATGCATTCTTTTATCCATATACAGTGAATGAGATTCAAACATTGTTGCCAAAATAGTGTCGAAGTTGGCACATCTGATTATATTGTGTGTGAAACTATAGCAAACCCACATTCGTTAATCATATTTCATGCCTTAATGCAAGTTCAGTTCCCTTACAGGCAATTTTATATTGTAACTTAAGTGCATTCTCACTGAAATGTTGTGCTGGAGAACCCAAGCAAAATCCCTTCGAAACTGCTTAATAAACTGAATATCAGCTTTCTCACTTCAAAAATGCAACTGCTGATCGAATTGCAAATAACGTTCAAAAAGGGAAGTATTAGATAACGACAGGAAACAGTCAACATATCTATACCTCTAAACTATAAGCTTATACAATTTTTAACTAACCTGCATGATGAAAGGCAACACCATAGCCTAGACATCTTGCCAAAGCTGTATCAAGGCCAGCTGGACAACGCCTTAGCTGGTCGACACAAGTGGTAAGGCCCACTCGGTCCAAACGTGATGCCAAGCGTACTCCAATATCCGGTCCTAAGTAGCAATCATTTGGATCGCTGTCAACAGGATCCTCAGACCTTAACACCCGGGTATTATTTTCCTGCTGACATTGTGCTGAAAAGTAGGACTGTGTTAGACTGAAGATCTATTGAAGAAAAGTAGTTAAAATGTAGAGAATTTATTACAACAGTATTCATTTAAGAAAACCAAATACATCACAACGAAAATATTCTGTCTACCCCATCAAATATTATTACAAAAGTAAGACTAGTACTGCAGTAGTGTACACTTAAATGCTATTCTTAATTTCATCCACATCGCAGTGCAGTATTATATATCGGATAACAACATTTTAGACGCCAGTTATTATCCGTGACCAAATACGGGTGGAAAGTGATAGGTTGGGAAGAGAAGAAATTTAAGCTAAACCCTGCCTTTTAGGTAGACATAAGACTCAGTAGCTCAAGCACTCAACTGTTACTAAATGGATCCTAAGCTTGAATCCAACTCCGTCTACTTCAGCTCCCTCACAAAATAAGCGTGCCTCATAGCCCAGTACATGAAAAGTTTGTTCCTGGCAACTGAGTTCTGACTAATGAACTCCCATTTTTCTATGCTTATCTTTAGTTTGAAGTGATTAAAAAGTGATAATAAAGAAAATTCGGCTGATATAATACAACACCAAACAATGTGAACTTACATGACGTGCCATTGTATCAGCTAATTGTTCACACCATTGTTTAGTAGGACAAAACACTAGTACACCATGTCCATTCAAGAATGAATCAAGACACAAACCAAACACACCATCTTCATCATTTAATTGAATATCAGAAGTTAACTGTGGATCCAAAGGTAAATTATCAGTAGGTACCAGACACCTAAATTAATTTAATTATACAAAAATAGCCAGTGTGAGAAATGATATCTTTAGAAAATGATATAACAATATAGTTATTCATGGTAAGCTTTGAAAACAAAAGATGAAACGATGGAAAAATAATTATTGATATAAGTATAAAACTTGGGCACTGTGGTAGAGTATAACTCCATAATGGTTGAGATTTTATTTTGATAAATCACACAGTGTTGTACAGTTATATTAACTGATGACGTTTCGAGCATAAACTATTGCTCATAATCATATCAACTTGATATGATTATGAGCAATAGTTTGTGCTCGAAACGTCATCAGTTAATATAACTGTACAACACTGTGTGATTTATCAAAATAAAATCTCAACCATTATGGATGGAAAAATAAGTTATATTCCTGTAGTACGGGACAACTTCGGAGCACGAAATACTTCTCGTTCACAAACACTCATCTACAGTCGCGAAGAAAGAGATTTAAAGTTCTGCAAGAAACTATTTGCAGTTGAAGAGCCTAAGAACATTCAGAGCATTAAATTTTCAGTTTTCACTACTTTTCCTACATGCATCGATTTTACATGGTTACTGGTAAAAGTTACTGTTTATATTATTAGAAAATTCCAAGCTGCTGAAGAGTGAGATACTTTATTATTACTTTAATAATATATGGTATAATGACTTACTCTGACTTCTGTTGACTGCAAACACTATCAACATCAGAATTAACTAATTTATAGAACTCATTCACTTTAGATCTTGTATCACATGATAAAATGAGTTCAGTCAGTGGGACTGGACGAAACTTTGTTACATAAACCTCTGCATCTAACCACTGTCCAAGTGTCGCAAGATTTGGCAAAGTAGCACTCATGCCAACTATTTGAATACCACCTGTATCACAGTAGGATTGGTTCAAAGATCCATTTAACAGACTTTGAGAATCCCCTGAACCTTTGCCACCATCAATTAGTTTAGCATTTAATCTGCGACGTGAATAGAGGAGTAACTTTGTTAACAACAACTCCAGTAAATAACCTCGATGAGTATCACCAATAAGATGTAATTCATCGACAACGACAATACCTAAAATTTAACCAATTTAAAAGTAAGTCAGTGTGGAGTAAAACAAATGCTTAGGTGAGGGTTAATTTATACTAATAAAAAATGAAAAGATGAGTAGGTCTTTACTGAAATAATTTTAAATCTACAAGATGAACAAATTCTTCAAAAAACACCACTAGAACTTCAATACTATTGTACACTATAATATTAAACTGGTCTGTTCGTTTGTTGAAAGATGCCCATAAATTAATATTTATTGGATACACTTCCTGACACTAATCAAGAAAAAAGTCATCTATATTTCTCAGTTCTGGCATTAGAATTCCATACCTCAATTTATCAATACTGCCTGGGATATTGATATGAAAGTATTTCTTCGATCAATTTATTGTCTTCCAAATCGTCTCGTCACATGGTGTACTACATATTGCTATTTTACTCGAAGATCCTGAGTGCAATTAGACACGCTGACAATTCTGTACATTGTGCGAACATTTTGTTCAGAATAAAGCTGTTATTATTTCTTTTAATTCATTCATTTATTCAAATGAACTTACAGATGTATGCTGTCATAAAATGGGTAGTAATAAATGAACTTTGATGATCTTAACACCAATATACGTAGTATTTTAATTCGATAATAACAAATCAGAAATGAAAAGCCGGAGACCTACCTAATTCGTCTAAACGATCTTCTTCTATTAGTCTATTAATCAGACTGTTTGCCTTTTCAATTGTACAGACGGCTACATTAATGGCGGACAAACCCCCAGGTGGACTGTGACCCCCCATGTAGCCTCCAACACGAATACCCAGACTGCTGAACAGTTTCTAGTGAACACAAGAGTTTAAATTAAACATCAAAAGATGTATGGGTGAAATGAAAGGCTATATCATAATTACAACTTTAATAAATATATCACGGTTAGAAACCTGAATAAATAACAAGAATAGCCAACTTTTTTGAACTCAGCTAAACTTTTATGGTGCTGGTTACAAACATCAAGATGAAGCAGAGTTCGAGTTTTCAAAGATTTAACCTTTCAAATGACTTATTTTCGAACATGCACAAAATATGTTAAAATTAAAAATGGACTGACACACAAAATAAACCAACCTGTAGGTAAGTCATTTTCTCTCTTGATACAGACACATAAGGTAGAATAATAAATGCTTTCAATGAAGATTCCAAAACACGTTTAAGTACAATGAGCTCAGCAACGAGGGTCTTTCCAGCACTAGTAGGAGCTGAGTAAACAAGATTTTTATTCCCCTCTATGAAATAAGTTTCAAAGTCGGTAGGCTTACCAAGAACACCAGGCAGGCGAAGGCATTCAGCTTGCCAAGAAAATATACTAGATATGTTCATCTTTTTATATTGCATATACAGTTCTTCAGGAACATAAAAGCCATCTTCAATTCTAATAGAATCTCCAACTTTGATTTCCATTTCGTGAACAAATCTCAAGTAACATTTATTTCATACACAGCCACCTAAATAAATGAATACAAAAGCTCATTTAGTCGGAACAATAATAGTAAGGAATGAATTATCAGCAAGGTGCAGGTGAAGTTTACTGGCTTGAGTACTTGAGTTCAGGCTGGTAGATGAGGTATATACTACACAGCACTTACTGAGGTTTGCGCGCATAATTAGTTCACCAACTCAAAAATGTGGCCACCTCTGGTATGGTGGGGCTGTATTACACAGCTGAATTACTGTTGCTTTACCTGGAGTCCACACATCATTGAATTAGACATACACTATCAGTCACTCGTGGTGAAATAAAAAACAGCCTGACAACCAAACCGAAATTCAAATATCACATATACACAAAATATGAATACAGATACATGAATTTGTGATTCAATGTTTTGTTATCTAACTCAATTAAGTTTTTGGGTTACAAAATAAACATCACTTTTTAAGAACATTCATAACAGTTTGGCTTAAAATGCATCTTGTAATAGTACGAAAACAATCCAAGTTTGTCAAGCTTAAATGTCTGTATGCCAGCAGTAATACCCGAATAGATTTACCCTGCATTAAATAAACGTCAGGTCAGCTTTTCTCTATGATTCACAGACCCAACACGTGCGTCACCATAACATTTTCAAAGGGATATTAAAGACTCCTATCAACAGAGGCCTTCGCTGAATAGTGAAAACCAATGTACGATCTCAAAAGGTAATCCATAAAGAACTCTGGTAGGCAGTGAACCATCCAACAACTCATTGCCAAAACAATATAGAGAAGGATATGAGGGTGAACAAGACATTGTGGTGACACCCACTGGTACCACAAGCCAGGCACACCTTCGAGTGGAGTCTGAGTTGAAAGAGACGAATGAGGTATCACAGGTTGACACGGAACGAAAGGCACATGGCTCAAAAGAAACAGGTGACGTGACTTTACATATGAGGACATTCAACTTCAAAGACAGAAAAGTGAGTAGGCCGCGGGTGAGTATTCAGATCATCTAATAAACACCTAAGCTGTCTAAAGCAGATAAAAGTCGAAATTTATTATTATACAGTGAATGAATGTGAATAGCTATTATTCGAAAAGATTATCAGATTCAGATTACGAGGATAGAAGGCTCTTGTTGCCTATGTTAATCCTCGCGATATATATCTCTGCAGAGATCCGGTTTCTCTTTGAAAGCGTTCACCGATGGAACTGTTACTACTGAATCAGTTCCAGTCGTTGACCACTCTGTGAGAGAATCTAAACTTCACACGTATTTTATTCGACCTCGGTTCGAGCACCTTCTTGTGGTGACCTCGTAAATGTATCCTACAGGCAGAGAAAAGGCTTGAAAAGTCAATCCCTAAATCAGTCTTGAATATACGATAAGCCAAAATTAGGTCACCTCTCCTCCTTCGGTATGATAATGGGAAGATATTTAAATGCTCCATCCTCATATCATAAGGAAGGTGTGAGATACCACTAACTAATTTAGTTCCTACCCTCTGTACTCTTTCCAGGGTATGTGCCTCCTTTTTAAAGCATGGACTCGCCGCTTGTATGCAGTGCTTTATACGAGGTCTGACATGTGTTGCATGTTGTTTGAACATAACCTCACTCAATCCTTTGAAAGCCGTTCGAAGTGCCCATAGCATTCGAAAAGCCTCAGCTGCGGCTCGATTACAACTTGCCATTGTTTTTAAGTCATGGCTTACAATAATTCCTAAGTCCTTTTGTTCCCTAACATCTGGCAGTTCTGTGTCCCCCATGGAGTACGATGTGTAAGACTTCTGACGTAGGTGCATTACCGCGCTTTTCTTGGAATTAATTTCCAGACTCCAAAAGTTAGCCCATTTGGCTAATTTATCTAGATCGTTTTGTAGTACTAACCTATCATAGTTACTATTTACGGTTTTGTTTATCTTAATATCGTCCGCTAATAGTAAGGAAGATGAGGTAAGAATTTTCGGCACTTCATTTACGTATAATAGGAAAAGCTGGGGGCCAAGTACAGTTCCCTGAGGCACTCCACTCAGTACTGCTTTCCACCCTGACAGTACGCCATTAACCCTTACCTTCCGCCTCCTATCCATCAGGTAGTCACTAAGCGCTGGTCTAGTCCAAAACGTTTGATTTAACTAATAAGACCTAAATGGAATACCTTATCGAATGCTTTACTAAGATCGATAAAGACAAAGTCCAGTAGATGGTTCTTATCCCTGGCCTCGACCCAATCTTCCCTAGCTAACAGTAAGTTTGTCAAGCTATATCGTCCTGGTCGGAATCCATGCTGCTCCACTGCTAGTAAGCCATGTTTATCCGCATGAGCTAAGAGCTGATCCCCTATGAGTATTTCTAACACCTTTGCTGTACTGCAGGTTAGACTTACAGGCCGGTAGTTAGATACTAACTGCCTGTTCCCATCTTTGAAGATGGGGCTTATAAAAGCATCTTTCCAGTCCCTGCATAGCCTAGCCTGGGTTAGAGACATCTGAAAAATCTCCGTAAGTGGAATGTATATTATATCCGCCAAGGAGATTAGTAGTCTGAGGTGAAGACCGGTGATCTACCTGGCTTCAGCTTAGATAGTTGTTTCAGAAGCACTGCATCCTCTACCACAATTGGGGGCACTTTAGTGGCTACATCAGTGACCTCGCAACACCCCTGAGTGGTAAGATTAAGCGAGAAAACATCACAAAAGTATTCGGAGAGGTTTACAGCTTTTGTTTCATCTGACTCGGCAGCCTCTCCAGTGTTGGTAATGAGGGACGGTATGCCGCTGCTAGTTTTAGTCCTGCGTTTGATATACGAGTAGTGTTTTTGGATAATGCACACAATCCAGTACTAACTGTCTCTCACACTCTATACGAATTCTGTCAGTCTTATACTTACAGAGGTTTCGAATTTTGCGGTTATCCATCTGAACCTCATCCCTCCCAGTCACAGAGAAGTGGTCCCATAAGTTCTTTGATTTTCTTAATAACCGCCTTATTTCATTACTAATCCAAGGTGGTTTATGCGATAGTTTTCGAGGCGAATATCAAAGTATAAAGGGTGCAGTGACGCAATCTAGTGTATTCCAAAATCCCATCCAAGCCTCCTAGACAGTCTGATGGGCATTAACAGACCACTCAGCTAGGGTTGCTGCATTTCGCCTATCAAAACTGAAATTTTACCCGTAACCACAATGTTATGACAACTTTACGTAACATAAATCTTACTCATTAGAGTTCTTTGATTGCAAGCATCTTTGCTTAACACTGACGTCCAGTCAGGACAACAAAGATACCCACTCCTCTCCAGCAAACTGCAATGCTTATTCCAGCGCGCGCATTTCCAACCTTGGCGGTTGCCACAATTAACATTGTTACTGCTTGAGCAAAACAACTCAAACTCAGATTTTTAACTAAGAATGAAGGGATACGAGCCTGCATCAATCCTTCTTGCTTCGGTATCCGAAGTTATATTTGTTTTTCTATGAACAAAATGCAGTATTTCCAAAAAAGGTGAAGATTCATAAGGTTGCTCCCACAAAACCAGGGTAAGGTAGAATTGCCAAAGCACTACTTGCATCCACTAGGAAGCTTGTCAACACAGCAAAGGCTGCTCAAAACCTGATGAAACCAAAGTTAATGACGCTGCAAAGGAATACAAGCAGTCAAAGGCCAAACTAAGACTGAGGTCAGTCGGTCAAATTCTCTTATTCTTTCTAATGTACTTGTGAGCAAGGATAGCTTGCTTGAACAACGGGCCCTGTTTGATCAGAAACCGTGGTCCAACTTGTGCAATAAATTAAATTTGAGCATTAGTTCAGAGAAGTTGTGCAGGCTGTACAGGGGTGTCCACAGGCCTCAGGGTAAGCCACCCCGATTAGGGTTACACTGGACTCTGCCGAAAAGGCCGACATAGTACTATTAGTGGTTCAGGTACTAGCCATCAACAGAAGTTCGAAAATAAGAGTGAGACAAGATAGACCATGAGCTATCAGTCAAATGACGAGGGAGTCACCAGAACTGTGCCTTCTACCTTTGGAAAAGGGGACTGCTTGGGAAAAACATGCATGACATACAGCAATGGAGATGGCTATCATCTCAAATGACCCTTGCCGTTTCTGGAGTAATCTCCATTTTCCGACTACTTTGCCCCGCTCATCTCACACTGATTAGCTCTCCAAAGCTGCTAAGTGTCACATTCAAATCCCCGGAGCAGTTGGCCATAGCACTTCAACGGTGGTATGAGACCGAGGAAAATGGGAGGACACATCCGATGCTCCAAAAGCAGACAGGAGGCATCAAACTGAGGCTTTAACACGTCCCTAAGCTTCAATGACACTAAAGCGATGCAGTTCTGAGAATAACAGTCTGTGTCACCCAAGTGTCCTGCCTAAATCCATGGGAAAATACTACAACGAGCCGGTTCCATCGGAATCAGCCAACTAGTCCCAAAATAAAGATCCCTACCACCAGACGGCTTTACGTCAACTACCCCACAACACGCTGAGGTTGTGAGACTCACTGTCAGCTGCCTATATAGCAATGTGGGGGGCTGAGAAGAAAAGTAGGCGAACTCCGAAATCTCCAAGCACACCTACAACTCAAAATGATCATTCTAACTGAAACGTAGCTTACCCCACTATTGCCGATAACGAAATCAGTATAGGTGATATGGTCCTGGTCAGGAGGGACAGGGATAATAAGGAGGGAGCGGGACTTGCTATATATTTTGACAAGCAACTTAAATGTGTGCGCGCAACGGACCCACCACTTATAGAACTCCCAGACTCCATACGGTGTCATTTCACCGTAGGCCACAATAAGCACTTACTGAGTGGCATCTATCGAATACCCAACTGTGGGGCAGAGCACAATTAGCTACTGTTCAGCACTATCACAGGGATACGAGACTTGGTCTATGACCAAATCACCATAGCTGGAGATTTCAGTGCCCCATCACTGAACCTTGGCTCGGAGTACGCTAAGGGAAAATTCGGCCG